AAAGTATATAAGAATTTTGATAATGAAGGTCTACTAATTCTGAAAGCGGAATTGGTTACGAATCTACATTAAATGATGAATTATATAGAGTTCACGACAACATTACATTTATGTGAGTATATAGACTATATAGAGTTCACGACAACATTTATGTGAAAGTATATAAGAATTTTGATAATGTAGGTCTACTAATTCTGGAAGCGGAATTTGTTACGAATCTTCATTAAATGATAAATTCCATATAGAGTTCACGACAACATTTATGTGAGTATATAGTGTCACGGCCACAAGCGGTTCTACGGCGAAAATTGGCCGTGGAATGGTATCACCATACGGCATGATTCGGGTTTACTAGTAATGCGTGTAACCATGATCGATCAAGGCGCATAAGAAATGAGATTAAGAAAGATGAGTATCGGACGATTAATTAATGATGTAATCAAAGTAAAAGATGAGTATCGTATGATTAATTATGTTGCAATTAATTTAGGGTCGAATGTTAAGTATATAAGGAACCTTTTGCTGATAAAAGGACGTAACAACACATAATATAACTAAAAAAAATTATGGATGGTTACGACTCTTATGTGCGTGGCAGGGGCACATGAGGAAATACACTATCTTGTGACTAGTGAAGCGAAGAAATTATAATAGGAAAGGCCAACAAGAACGCCGTGGTCCAGTCTTAACCGTGACATATAGTCTATATAGAGTTCACGAACATTTATATGAAAGTATATAAGAGTTTTGATAATGAAGGTCTACTAATTCTGAAAGCGGAATTGGTTACGATCTACAAATCCTATATAGAGTTCACGACAACATTTATGTGAAAGTATGTAGTCTATATAGAGTTCACGAACATTTATGTAAAAGTACTTTACAGAAACCTATGTTTTTTGCTAAATATGTTTACAATATATTATTATTATATTATTTAAAATAGCATATAATAAATATACTTTGAATACATATTAATCATATAATAATTATATTTTTGTTCTTTCTGCTAACTCTCTTGTAA